GGGAGGGAGGGAGGGAGGGAGAACTTTCATTGTTGCTATTCTATAACCAATTCTTCAGCAATCCTGAGTTCTATATCTATTTTTTTCTCATTTGTCATTACAACAAGAAATTTATCTCCACAGATTTCTCCATAGTTCCAGGTAGTACAAAGTTAGTACACATTTGCCCTGCCAAAATCCTAAATAACCTCCACACTAAAATTAGCTAGATGACCTAGGCAGATTTTCAGGGATTTGCAGTTCACACAGTGCCAGCAATTTAACAGCTGTAACAAAGCATCTGATTAAATCCTTTCTAAAGAATGCAGATTTTTTTTTTAAAAAAAATCAAATTGAAATACTCAAATTCACTGAAATATATAGTCTCCTGATTTTGGCAACTTGCCATGCGCAGGATTTTACATAACTCCACTCTTCTCTCTATACCAAGAGAGGTCATAGTCACTGGTGACCTTGTTTCTCATTTCTTAAAGTATTTAATTTGGGATATTTGAAAAATTTCTTATGAATATACAAAAATGACACACACAATGTAAAATACTCTGAAAGTCCACTTGATCCCATCTCTGTGTACATACAAGCCTCTTTGCAAGTTTCCTCAGACATTTTCAGTTACATTTTAACTTTCTGAATCCAACAATTATCAAATTCGTTCCACTAAAACAATATTATAATATACTTCCATGATACTATACATAGTAGAATATATATAAAAGTATAATATACTTCCATAATACTATATGGAAGAGCTTCATAACCTTCTGTGAATTTAAAATGCAATTTCCACATGATGGTATTTTTTCATATACACATTTACATTTGAATAGGTTTTTAATAAGTGTGAGTAATATAAAGACAGACAGACAGACAGACAGAAAGACAGATAGACAAATATTTTAGTAACAATAATTGTAGAATTAAGACACGTGAGTTACATGCAAGAAAAACCAGGGAATCCATGGCAAAGATGGCAGATATATTCTGGTTTTAACAGAAACATACTATTCAGAGCAATGACTGAAAAATGAGATAACCTTTAACTTACAGAATATTTATCAAACCTGTCTTAAATCCAAATTATTTAATTGCAAAGAATATAGACATCTATTGTGCCTTAGAATATGGGGTGCAATAAGTTTACTACTGCATCTGATCCCATAGAGTACTGCCTTCTAGGGATTTGGGAAGCACAAATAGCCCAACCCACTAGGAAAACAAGAGTATTATGCTTAAAAGAGCTAAGTAATGGCATTCGGGCATCATGCTCAAAAGTGCAAATGCTTATCTCAAAGCCATCTTTTCCTTCCTAATGTGTAACATTGTAACATTAAAAGACCTTAAAAAAGAATACAGATACTAAAGGTTCAAAAAGCTGGTAACGTCTTACAAGAACACAGTCTGAATCAGTGATAATCTGACAGACGCTGTCAATCTCCTGTCAGATGATCACCCAGGTGATTAGCAATTAAGATCTTAACTGTAACTTCTCTAATTTTAGTGTACGTGAAAACCTTTTGTTCAACACTACTGCATTCAAAAAGGATGCATTTGTAAGTCTCATAAGCAAACAAAACCCAAATTCAAAAAAGCAATCAGACCACATACACAGCTATCACAAATAGTGGGCTTCATTTTCATTCTGCAAAACTCAGCCTATTCAGGTGGTAGATACAATGAAAATTTTGTTTTCAGTATGTAATTATAGCCAAAATTATTTATCCATTTTATTAAGCACAATTAATTAAAAATAATAATTCAATGCAAATTTTTTATTTTCATTTAAAATATTTGGCTATGTTGATAGTTTTTGTTGCAACACAGGTCCTGAAACAACAGGTAGCCTGCATTAGGAAAGTCTTAGCAAAGGCTGAGCCAAACCATACAAGTTCCAGGTTCCAAGTAACTTGAAATTAGTATACAACATGAAATTACATGGAGATGAGAAAACAGCCAAAAAGGTACAGTACGCTAATCACAGCTGTATTGGAAATTTACTGAATCAATGCTTAAAACAAGATTTTATTTATTTATTTATTTATTTATATACTCATTAATTTTCATTTATTTATTATTTTTATATATAAATGTGGCAAATGTGGAACGAACCAAATTAAAACAAGAATGAAGATAATCTGTTATAAAATGGTTTTTGGTAGCCTATTGAGAATACTCTCAATTTAAAGGGCTTACAAAAACACAGTGTAAATAAAGTATTTACACTATGAACAATATAAACAAAACAAGTTATAAGAGAAGGTATGAGAGGTCGTCTGCCATCTATTGCAGTTATATTGCACTATTGCCCTGGTTCACAAGCTTCAGTTTCCCCTGCAGCAAGTTGTGTAAATACCAGAGGTACTGGATATTTGAACTGCTTCACTTTCAAACACTTTGCCTTGTTTGGCTTGGCAAAAGAGTAACTGCTGTTAAAGGTGCTGTTTCACTGGCTAGCACACAGCATGAACATGAGCATAATGTGCAGCAGCAGACAATAAGCTGAGCAGGGTCTCAAAGACAAAGAGCACCCCATACACTACTGTACAACCTGTCACTGAAAAGCCTTGAACGGGACAAAACCAGGACTTCACCTGACAGCAATTACATGATTTGAACAAGTTTTTGCAGAAGGATTCTCCTCCCAATTACACTGCAGCACAGAACAGTAAGTAGGATGTGAACTTGTGAACAACCTAGTCCTTTAAAGTTATTTCCAGACACTGCCAAGCATTTTTAGGCTCTGCTGAGCCTTGTTTCCAGCTAGAAAATTTGGCAAGAATGTTTCAGGACTTCCTAATTACTGCCTTCCCTTAGATGTAAGCGAATTGCTGTCTCCATTGCTGCTATTTTAGTTATAAACAGACAGCTCTGTAACACTCCGTGGTTCTCGTATACTGAAAGGCATGTGATTTAATCCATGTAGCTGCACTGCTCTCCAGAATAGCCTGTCTTTGCGCTTGGCTCCTTCCCTGCTCCAATTACAAGCTGCCTGCTAACCCCTGCAGGACAAGAAAACCTGACCAATTACCTCCTATTTGCTGTAAGAGCTGGAGAAAAGAAAGCAGCTGCAGTCAAGAAACTGAAACACAGCCAGGCATCAACTGCAGCACAAGGTCACCAAAGAAAAGCACACTAAACCATATGGCAATTTGGAAGTGGCAAATTATTCATCCCAGAAGGTGCCTGACACCTCAACATTACAGGAACAATTCACCCTTTGAATACTGTACTGTACTGAATACTGACTGCTGTAGGGTGTATGATTGCCGTGATACTTCAGTTATAAAGGCATTTAGTAGTCCTGCAATATTTGGTAATACCATTATACTTTTGGACATGGTATTAGAAGATGCTAAGAAGATGCATGGCATTAGAAAAGTATGCATTTTGACAGGCTAATTAGAAAATTAGAAATGGTATCAACTGCTGTGATGGGAATTCTGACTTTATTTCTGATAAAAAATAAACCTTCAGCCTTGTTTCCACCTTGTTTCAACCTTGTTCCTAAACACTATCAAACCATAGCAGGCTGTTCCACACACTAGTAATACAGTAAATAAAAAGACAGGTGAAGCAATTACTTTATTATTAATTAAATTTCAAAATAAATTACACTATTCAACAGGACAGTAAAACTTGTATTTTTACAAACTAGACTTTTAGAAAAACCTCTAGATGCCCTTGAGCATTTTCAAATTGTTACACTGTTCTGTGAAGAACTTTCCAGACTTTTATGAATGTTCATACAAAACTAGTTTCAGGAAAACAGGGATTAAATTTTGCTTTCCTGCCAGCAACCAAGAGTTTTACAGAAATCACTTCCACCTCAAAACCCAAAGAACTTTCAGGAAAGTCAACATTATGTCAACAAAGAATAATTCTAACCTATAACATCAGCAACTATATTCAGAATACAATACAAAATGTCTCCTTTTTCATCCTATTCCACAGTGCTCCTCTTTCAACTTTTTCTCATATTCAGACTATCACCTCCCCCTCAGAAACATCTATGCAATATCTCTATCTGTGAATATATGTGTTATTCAGAAATAAGACTATGAGAAAAATCAATGATGTCTACTCTAGTACTTGATCTTTCCACACAAAATTATTTCTGTCTTCTTTTCATCATCCATCAGAAATTGTTTCCCACAATATTCTAAACAGCTTAAGTTTGACTGTGTATGTATCAAATACCAATACAAAGAATTCGTTATCCAATTAATGTGCAATTAGTGTTTTGCATATTACTATTTTTATTTGATTTCATTAATATTTTTATCAATGCACTTCAACAGAAGCAGTTGTAGTTATCTCTCTATATGGAGATCATTACATATTGTAGAGTTTACTACAGTAAACAGTTTGTGTACAATTTAGCCTGAATGAGAAGATGAGAAATCATACATGAAAGAAGTAGTCTCAATTTCAGCCCCACATTAATTTCTTAAAGGGCAAACATTTAAAAATATAAATCAAAAATCTGAAGACCCATTAAACAGACTCTCCATCCTTTCTTCATAGATATTCTCTGCTGGTTTTGTGTTACTTGGAGTTTTTATAAAGTTACAGAAATACAGTAAGAGGGTCAGAAAGCACCAAACTGAGTTTAAAAAATATATCCCAATTTGGAACTTCACAAAAACACACACATACACACAAAATCACTGATACTACATTTAAAGCCTCTAAGTTAGACTTTCCAGTTACAATCAACCAGTTAAATATACAAAAAATTAAATATAAATATTTATAGTAATATAATTGCAACGCTCTACGGCATGACAACTGGTCCCTGACAAAGTCAAGCATACATATAGTACTGAACTTCCTGGGCTACTTCCAAAAATAACAGTTTTAAACCAAGCTGTCTGGTTTATATGAAAATTATGATGGTGAAAAGAAAGATCTTTTTCTTATATATCAGCATTTTCATGTAATTGGAATCTTTAGTCTGTACTTATTAAACCACAGACATAGGAATACCTACCCTGCATTGTTACTGACTGCTGTTATTCCCTTTACTCCAGTCTTCAGTAAACCCCCAATAAGGTTTTCAGGAATCCCACACAATCCAAAACCTACACAAAATAAAAGAAAATTGCTTATGTAACAAGTGTTTGAAAGAACATAGAATGTTCAGAACTATGGGAATAAAAAAATCTTTTCCGAGTAGAACAAGCTCCTTAGTCAGCTAAATAAATCAACATTTCCAGATAGAGTTGCCCTCTAGTACTGGAATCTCCCACTCACAAGACACTTCCCAGTTTGGATGAAAGCTCTTTACGCACCAGAGCGGGCCTTTAGGAAAGGGCTCCATGACCACAGCTCTCCTTACGTGTGTCCTCAACCCTGTACTCATTTTTCCTCCTTCTCTTCCTACCCACTTAACCTTCTTATCTTTGCTGCACATCCCACAGCTTAGCCTGTAATTACATTGTTCAACTGGGAGTCTGAACACACTCGGGATAATATCTGCCTGGAATCACAATAATCTAGATCTCTACCAAGGCACAAGAGCCTCACATTCCTACCTATTATGCAAGACTCCTAAAAGTACGTACTCCTACGCAAATACATCTAAAATGAAATAGCACATCACAGTACAAGCATTACCTTTTCACAGAATGACAGAATCAATTAGGTTCTAAAAGACCTACTGAGATCATCAAGGCCAGCCTATCTTGGTCTCAAATCTTTTCTTTATGAAATAGCAACAACAATAACAACAACAACAGCAACGAAAAATTCCTGCAGGAGGATTTTTGCCTCATTACATATCTCCATTGAAGTGCTTTACAATGTTACATTCATTTCTTTTGGAATATTAAAACAACCTAAGAAATAGATAAACCACTTTTTTTAAATGCAAATTGAACAGGATGAAATTGTGGAAAGCTATCATCTACAATATCCAAAAGCTCAAGTCACAGTGAAAGTTAGTATGACGCAACTTCTTGACTCTTCCGGAAATGCCACACATAAGCATTAAGTGTAACATAGATAAGTATTATCTTCATTTCCTAACTCAGAAACAGGCTTTGTTCAAGGTCAAAGAGGCCCAGAGACAAAGCAGTCAAAGGATATAGAGAAATAATCAAGCCAAATTGTATTTGTTCACTATGAGAAATAAGAATGCTATCTTGAAAATTCCCAAGCTCATTTTCTGGATTCAAACAGAGTCCAGTTTTTGCTAGTGAGAAAAAAAAATATTTTTCTGAGGCTCTTTTTCTTTCCCTATGACACAACCTGGATTTTCTCCATACTGAAGGAGTATGCCTCTCATGAGCAGAGTAGGAAACCACTTGTTTAAAAAATCATTCAATTCCATGGATTCTAAAATCAGTTAACAGTAAAAAAACAAGATAAATGAGTAAAAAGTATCTCATTAACATTACATGATTGCATCCACAAAGAATTTAAATATTTACCACCAACAAGTATAGTTGCCCCATTGGGTATATCTTTTACAGCTTCAACAGGATCAGTGTAAAATTTGGTGTTGCGATGACAGCTGGTAGAAAAATAGCATCCACAAATCTGCAACAACAGTAAAGGAAACAAGTGAATGAACAAAAGGCATCATACAGTAGTTTTGTAATGAAGACCATGCCTCTGGCTAGATAGGGGGAAAAACAGATACAAAAAGATATTGCTACTTTAAATACTAAACGGGGAGGAAAAGAGGGAGGGGGAATAGAGAGAAGGCGGGAGGAGGGGGGGAAGCACAGTGCAGGTCTCCAAAACGAGAGAATTACATCCTGAATTACTGACAAATGGTGCCTTTCTGAAAACATATCTACAAATGCAATCCCTCAGCACAAGTTGGAGCCATCCACAGACTCCTTAAACCTGTATATTGTTATATGAGCTTCAATGGCATCCCAACACTAAACATAAACAGAAACTGCTGAAAGAAAGATAACACCCCCACAAAATTTTAGTGGAAGCCACAGAACAACAGGAAGGACAGCACTGTGCTGGCAGTATGGTAAGCAGGGATACCCTTCCACAGACTGAACCCTCCCCCAGTTTCCTTGTGCAATCTTGGAGCTTTCAAATGCAGTCTTAGAGATACTCATGTTGTTGAAGAACAGCCCAGAATCAAGGAGACTCCAAGAAATGAAAGAAATATGGAGGGAAATCAATACAAATCCCACCCCCAAACCTGGACCTCACAGTACAAAGCCATTACACAGTAGTCATCATAACTTATGTATGCACTGTTATGTACCTAGGTCATCTTTTTATCTTTAAGTATTTACTACAAATACCACACATTACAACAAATAATCAAATATTCGTTCAGGCACCAGAAGAAAAAATTGACACCTAAGTCACTACATTGAAACAGTCTCAATAAATTCAGAAAATCTGGAAGCTAAAGTACTACCTAATGGCCTTTCAAATTCTAGCTTGATAGAAAGAGTGAAAAAAAATTATATTGTGAAAAAGGGAGAAACAATAATAAACAAGGTAATTACACATTTTGAAGACAATAGTCCAATTCTTCCCTGAAGAGTTACCTTAAGAGTTACCTACAGTTATAGCCAGGGCAACAAATTTTGGCTCTCTTTCAATATTACACAAGCTGTTCTCTATTTATAATTAAAGCTGCAAGAGTTTATACTGAATATTAAGAAAACCTTTCTGAACGGAAGCTTACCTCCTTCCCAGTGGAGACACTGATGTCCCTCTGCTTTGATAGGGTCAATAAAAAATCAGTACATGGGTCATAAGAAACAATGTCATGTGAGAGAAACTGCAACAACCTTCTGCATGCCGAATTATACCACGAATGTTTCTCCACTGATCCATGGTACTTGAAAAGTCAGGGAGTCAGGTGCAGTCCCTTGAGACTTCCCTGAGGGAAACATTGTGCCCATCTTTATAAAAAGGGTAAAAAAGGAGGACCCCAGGAACTACCAAGCTGCCAACCTCCCCTCTGTGCCTGGGAAGGCCATGGCCTCCTAGAAGTTGTGCTAAGGCACAGGAGGGATTGGGAGATGATTCAGGACAGCCAGTACAAGGACAGCAAGTGAGGGCAATCCCTGCCTGATCATACCAGTGACCTTCTGTGACAGAGTGACCACATCTGTGGACAAGGGAAGGGCTACAGATTCATCTGCACACTTCTGTAAAGCCTTTGACACAGTCCCCCACAACATGCTTTTCTCTAATTTGGAGAGAGATGGATTTGATTGCATAGATTTGGTGGATGGTGGAGGAATAGGCTGGATGGCCACATCCAGAGGGAAGTGGCCAATGGCTCAGAGTCCTGATGGATATTGGTGATGCATGGTGCTTCTCAGGGGCTGTCATTTCTCAGTGACAAAGACAGATCAACTACATGCTCAGCCAGTTTGTTGGTGACACCAAGCTAACCAGTACAACTGATAACTCTGAGGGATGCAATGCTATCCAGAGGGACCTGGACTAGCTCAAGTTGGCCCATAGGAATCTTATAGGGTTCAACAAGGCCAAAGGCTGGTGCTGCACCTGCATTGGGGAAATAAGGCCAGAGTACAGACTGGGAGAGGAACTTGTTGACTAATTGGTGCTGCTGGTGG